CAAGCCATGGAGCAGTTACAAACAGCACTGACCACAGCGCCGGCCCTCATCCTACCATACCCAGACAAGGACTGCGTAGTTGAAGTAGACACTAGTACTGATGCAGGATCACGGACGCGGTTTACAGCCGATCACCTACCTCGGTAAAAAGCTACAGGGAGCAGAGCTGAACTATCCCATTCACGACAAGAAAGCCTTAGCAAGAGTCGTAGCCTTCAACACGTGGAGGTGTTACCTAGACATAGAGGAGTTTATCCTGACCACTGCAACCTCAAATACCTGAAGTCGCAGCCGACGCTCTCACGACGACAGATGCGGTGGGTGGACTTCCTGGAAACTCACTTCCACTACGACATCGTCTACAAGCCCGGGCAACACAACAAGGCAGACGCATTGAGCCGCCCTGGTCATGTAGCACGCATCCAGCTCGACGGGATGAACCCTCTGCTGAAGGGTCTATTCCAACATGGATACTCCGTGGACGCAGAGATCGCTTCAGCACAAACCAAGAAGCTGTTACATTGGGAGAAAGACTTAGCGGTAAGGAAAGGTTCAGGAAAGATTTGGGTACCGAATTGCGCCCCGCTACGGCAGCTCCTATTGGAGGAGTTTTACGACGTACCTTACGCGGGACATTTCGGGAGCAACAAGACATTAGCAGGGATAACGAAGTATTACTACTGGCCCGGGATGGCAGCAGACGTGCAGCAGTTTGTCACCTCTTGCGACACATGACAGCGGATGAAGAGGAAACTCCTTTCTTCTTGTGTTACGGACAGGAACCACTTACACCACAGCAGCCAACCACACTGGCAAACTTCAAAGCCACACACGACTTCGTCACCACCATGCAGCAGCTATGGGAGAAGACTCAGCGACGTCTCACCATAATGCAGAACTCCAAGAAGCAGTATGCTGATCACCAGCGACGTGATCACTCAGTAGGAGTCGGAGATCAGGTGCTTCTTGACACGCGCAACTTGAGCCTGTCTCACCTCCCATCCAAGCTCTGGCCTTGCTTCTGTGGTCCTTTTCTCGTTGAGGCACAGGTGACACCAGTAACATTCCGCATCCGCTTACCTACTACGTGGAAGCTTCACAATGCTTTCCATGTTCAGCTATTGAAGCTCTGCAAGGACCCCAACCAACAGTTTCAGGGACGGCAGCTACCTCCACCACCACCTGTTCTCATACAAGATGAACCTGATTATGAAGTGGAGCGTGCTATCACTCATCGGTGCCGCGGAGGCAAGACCCTCGAGTTCCTGATACGATGGAAGGGATACGACCCCACTTAGGACAGTTGGGTTGCAGAAGCTGATATATGCAACGTACGCCGGGCTCTCAAAGACTATCTTGTCAAGCAGGGTATATCTCACGCCACTTAGCTTTGAGGGGGGGACGTGTGAGAGAATGGCGGCTAATGCCAGCTTTGCTTGCTTTCCTAGACTTTACTATGCTATTTCTAGCATAGGTTTATTTTATGCATGCATGAATTGCTTGATTTCCTAATCTAGGTGCTTTCTACATATTATTATAGTTATAGCACCGAGCTAGGTTGCGTGCACCAAATTCTGGGCTTTTTGGTTGCCACTGAATTGCCTTCTACCAAATGCGGGAAGGGTCTGTTCGGGACGCTTCGCGACCCTCGGAACCTTAGCCTGGTTACTGGGCCTTGTGTCGAGCCTATATATAGCCTCATGTTGTACCCAGGTGATTCATTCAATTCAAACTCTCTTTTCTGAGCTCGATCCTATATCCTCACAAAATAGTATGTTGGTCTAGTGGACCGGTTCGACCAACGAACCTGTTGGTATAATAGACTGGCTGGCCTAGCTGGCCTGTTTGTCCAATGGACCAATTTGACCAACTGGCCTGTTGGTTTAATGGACCAGATGTACCAAATTGTGTAAATGTCCACTTAACTGGCTGGACAAACTGGCTTGTTTATCCAACAGACCGATTTGACCAACTTGCTTGTTGGTCTAATGAACCGGTTGGACCAACTGGCGTGTTTGTCCACAGGATAAATTGGATCAAATAGCAAGTATGTCCACTAGACCGAATGGCCCAAATAACCCATTCGTCCAACGCACAAGTTGTACCAACTAGCCTGTTGGTCTACTAGACCGGTTGGACCAACTGGCATGTTGGTCCTATTGACCGGTTGGACCAACAGGCCTGTTGGTTTAGTGGACCGTATGAACCAACAGGCCTGCTGGTCTAGTGGACTGGTTGGACCAACTGGCATGTTGGTCCAATGGACCGGAAGGACCAACTAGCTTGTTGTCCTGTAGACCAGTTGAACGAACATGCATGTTGGTCCAATGGACCGGTTAAACCAACTGGCCTGTTGGTCCAATTGGCGTGTTGGTCCAATAGATCAATTAGACCAATTGGCGTGTTTGTCCACCAGAACGATTGAACCAACTGGTCTGCTTGTCCAATGGACCGGTTGGACCAACTGGACTATTTGTCCACTAGACTGATTGGACCACCTGGCCTGTTGGTGTAGTGGAACGGTTGGACCAACTAGACTGTTAGTCCAGTGGACCGATTGGACAAATTCGCCTCTTTGTCCAATGGACCAGTTGGACCTCCTCGCCTGTTGGTCCAAATGACCAATTGCACCAACTAGCGAAATTCTCTACTGAACCGTTTGCACCAATTGGCCTGTTGGTCGAGTGGACCGGTTTTACCAACTTGCTTCTTGGTCCAGTGGACTGGTTGGACCAATTGGCTTGTTGGTGTAGTGGACTGGTTGGACAGACTATTTTGTAGGTCCTATCGATTGGTTGGACCAACCGGCCTGTTGGTCAAGTGGACCGGTTGGACCAACTGGCCTGTTTGTCCTATAGATCGGTTGGACAAACTGGCCTGTTGGTCTAGTGGACCAGTTAGACCAACTCACATGTTGGTCTAGTGGACCGGTTAGACCAACTGGTCCGTTGGTTTAGTGGACCGGTTGGACCAACTGGCCTGTTTTTTCACTGGACCGATTGGACCAATTGGCCTATTGGTCCAATAGACCGGTTGTACCTTCTGGCCTGTTGGTCTTGTGGACCGGTTGGACCAACTAGAGTGTTGGTCCAATGGACCGGGTGAACCATGTGGCCTGTTGTTCAAATGGACGGGTTGGACCAACTAGACTACTGGTCTAGAGGATCGGGTGGACCAATTAGCCTGTTGATCTGATGTACCGGTTGGACCAACTGGCCTGATCGTCCAATGGACCGGTTGGACCAAGTGGCCTGTTGGTCCAATGGACCGGTTGCACCAACTAGACTGGTTGGAACAACTTGCCTGTTGGTCTAGTGGACCGGTTGGACCAACAGGCCTGTTGGGCTAGTGGACCGGTTGGACCAACTGGCCTGTTTTTCCACTTGACCGATTGGACCAACTAACTCGTTGGTCCAATGGACCAGTTGCACCAACTCGCCTGTTGGTCCAATGGACCGGTTAAACTAACTTGCTTTTTTGTCCAATTATCTAGCTGGACCAATTGGCGAGTTGGTCCAATGGACCAATTAGACCAACTGGTGTGTTTGTCCACTAGACCAGTTGGACCAACTAGCTTGTTTATCAATAGGACCGATTGGACCATCTGGCTTGTTGGTGTAGTGGAATGGTTGGACCAACTAGACTGTTGGTGTAGTGGACCGGTTGGACCAACTGGCCTGTTATTCCAATGGACTAGTTGGACCAACTCGCCTATTGGTCTAGTGGACTGGTTGGACCAACTGGCGTGTTGGTCTAGTGGATTAGTTGGAAGGACTAGCGTGTTGGTCCTATGGACCTGTTGGACCATCTGGCCTGTTGGTCCTATGGACCGGTTGGACCAACTGGCCTGTTTGTCTAGTGGACCGGTTGGACCAACTAGCCTGTTGGTCCAACGTAACGGATGTACCTTCTGCCCTGTTGGTCTTCTAGACCGGTTGGACCAACTCGGCTGTTGGTCTAGTGGACCGGTTGGACCAACTGGCCTGTTGGTCCAATGGACCGGCTGGACCAACTGGCCAATCGGTCCAATGGACCGGTTGAACCAACTTTCCAGTTGGTCCAATGGACCCATCATACCTTCTGGACCGTTGGTCTTGTGGACCGGTTGGACCAACTGGCCTGTTGGTCCAATGAACCGGTTGGACCAACTGACCTGTTGGTCCTGTGGACCTATTGGACCAAGTGGCCTGTTGGTCTAGTGGACCGGTTGGACCAATTGGCCTGTTGGTCCAGTGGACCGGTTTGACAAACTAACCTGTTGGTCCAACTAACCGGTTGGACCAACTGGCTTGTTGGTCCTATTGACCGGTCGGACAGACTCGCCTGTTGGTCCTATGGACCTGTTGGACAAATTGGTCTATTGGTCTAGTCCAACGGTTGGGCCAACTGGCCTGTTGGTCCAGTGGACCGCTGGGACGAATTGGTCTGTTGGTCGAATGGACCGGCTGTGTTACCGATTATGCACGTGATGCATAAGCAATAACAGGAGTACAAGGGTAAAGGAAATAGTAATAGGAGATAACATTATAAATGCATTGCAAAGTAGATTCTTGTGTAGTGTAGAGTTTAGCGAGGTGACGGTTGGAATAGAGATGGGTGGGGGGGGAAGCCTCGAAGTGCGAAATGTGTGATGAAGGGCGAAATGTGTGATGAAGGGCGAAATGTGTGACGAAGGGAGAAATGTGTCCCAACCCCGAGCCGCGCATTTGGGAATGTGCAGCACAGGGTTGGGCTGGGCAAGGTCTCGCACGCACGTACCACTCGTCGCTTGTTTGCTAGTATTCTCTCGTAATAGTGGAAGTTATCGCTCTAAAGCTCTTAGCACACAGTGGTACGCCACTAGGAGAGAACTAGTGGGGTGAGGGAGTGATCCCATTCATACTAGCAAACAAGTGTAGGCGCGCAGCATGGATAAGTATGAGTTATGCTGGGATCGGATCTTCACGCGTAGAGAGGAGGAATGGCCGCGGCGTGAGGATTCGCAGTAGCGTGGGCGTTCCCTAGAGCGAGCGCCCAGAAGGCCGGCCTTCCAAGCAGATAGGATTCCCGTCGTGCCGGCCCGCCGAGGGAGAGAGACGACGCACGACGTAGGAACCGGTGGCAGACTCGATGCATCGACGAGCGGCGCGCCATGGCGGAGGAACACGTTCCACTTGCGCAGCGACGAACACCGCCATCCGCGCGATGAAGGGGTGTTCCGCTCCCCGGAAGCGGGAGGGCGGCGACGGGATGAGCGAGGTCGATGGCGGGGGAGGGAGAGACTCCCGCGGGAATGGGGACAAGGCTTGGGCGTGAGCCGAGTCGAACAGGATCCGCAGGTCGAACGGATGCGGGAGGAGAGTGACGAGGAGGCTAAGCGGGAGGACGACGACGAGCCGGTGTACGACGACGAGCAGGGATACGGCGACGAGCGGGAGCTCGGCGATGCGCAAGAGCACAGCGACGAGCAAGAGTACGACAATGAGCGGGAGTACGGCGGCTAGAGGGAGCTCGGCGACGAGCAGGAGGACGACGACTCGCAGGAGGACAGCGACGAGCAGACGCGCGTGGTACCCCACGTCCTGAGCGGAACCGTGGAGGAATTGCTCGCGCCCAGCGCGGAACATGCCGACACCGTGGCGGCAGCAAGGGTGGGGGAAGGGGAGGTACGCGCGGAAGGGCCGCGTGCCACGGCACCCAACCGCCTGGGAGGGCACCATGCCCGCGATGTGTTGCCGCAGGAAGGCCGGACTCGGGAGAAGGAGACACGTACGGTGCAGCCGCGGGGAATGCGCGGATGGGGCGAAGCAGAGGACACGCACACGACTGGAGCCGAGCAATGACGTGGAGAGCCGAGAGAGGGAGGCTCACGTTCGATGAAGGAACCGCCGCCGAGGACCGGGCGGTCCGGTGGCACAGAAGGGAGGTGGGAAGGAGTGGAAGAGAAGGGGGTGCGCGCGGCGACTCGTCCGTGGGCGCCGGGAGGAGGACGGGACGGGGAGGACCGCTCACCTGAGCCGCAGCGGCGCTGGGAAGGGCAACGGAGGGGAGGATCTCGCTCTCCACGTGGGCAGCGGCGGTGGGGAAAGGGGCCCCATGGTGAGGAGCAGTCACCTGAGCGGCACCATTCGTGAGAGGGAAGGCGGGAGGAAGCAGACCGCGCATCACCTGGCACTCGGAGGCTTTGCAGGGCGAGGGAAGAGTGGTCACCACCCCTGGCGCGGCGTAAGCTGCGTGAAGCCACTCGCCGGAACGACAATGGGGGCGGACGGAAAGGGAAGGGAGTCAGTGGGGACAGTCGGGAGAGACGCGCAGAGGGAAGCAGGAGAGCAGGGCCAGGAGTGGCAGCTTGGCCCAAGGGGCTGAGCGAGCTCGTATAGCCAGAGAGGGCCTGGAACGAGCAGGGCAAGGAGGGGGGTATGGGAGACCGCGGGGAGAGGCAAGTGAGTTGTGGAGAGAGGGAAGAGGGGGCAGGGCCACGGCGACAAGGGTGGAGGTGCAAGCCAGGTTCTCGTGAGATCAGAGGACGGGGCCATCGCTCAAGAACTATCTGATGCAAGTGGGGAATGTGAAGTATCGGTGCGACCGGAGCGGCATGGACCCCATAGACTTCTTCCTGAGCCTGCCAAACACCTTGGATGGGGAAGCGGAGACTCTGTACCGTGTGAGGATGGAGGAGCTGCTGTGGAGGGCAGGGAGGTATGGAGAAGACCTCACCGAAGCATTCTTTGAGAGGTTGCAACGGCAGTTCCTGGGGAACACAGCGGAGCGCATAAGGGAGTTCCAGGAGTTCAAGAGAGGGAGGACAGAGTCACTGCATGCGTATTACAATTGGCTGATCAACGTAGCCGAAGATGTGAGATGCACGGACAGTAGCCTCTTGATCAGTAAGTTCCTGGGGGGCCTAGATGAAGCACTGGGAGGCGGGCTGCGGATGAGGGTGTATGAGCTAGGCGAGGAGGCAAGCAAGAGGCAGAACAAGGTGGTGCCGTGAGCTGGCGCAGCAAGAAGCTGAACGAGGTGGGGCAGTCCTCGTGTGAGACAGAGTACGTGGCCCTGCATCATGGGGCCAAGGAGGTGGTGTAGCTGAGGCGTCTATTGGAGGAGATCGGAGTGTGCCAGAGGGAGCCGACTGTGATGTTCTGTGACAATGAGTCGGCAGTGAAGTCAGCCAAGAATGCTTGTCTTCATGGGCTGATCAAACACATTAGGCCAAAGTGGCATTGGGTGAGGAGGCTCCTGGACAAGGAGGTGCGACTGGAGATTGTGAAGACCCATCAGCAGTCGGTTGACATTCTCACCAAGCGCCTGGCTGAACCTGAGCATTGGAAGGGCATGAAGCTTGCTGGAATGAGTGTGCATTGAGGGTGCATGCATGAGCTGTGGCATGTGGGATAATGGTAGGCAGCCAGAGGGGGAGTTTGTTATGTGATGCTATCATTTGCATTAACGTCTGTCTCCCTCCCATCATATGTTCGCGCGTTGCATGCGTGGTGTGAGCATGTGCAAAAATTTGTGATTCGTGTGGTTTGGATTCTCTGAGTGTGTGTGAATGATATTTTGCTTCAGCAGATATCTGAAATGACTCCTCTGCTCAAGAGCTTTACGTCGAGCCAAGTATCGCTTCAATCGGAGCACGAACAAGAGAGTTACAAACATATGAAGTTCGTATGCTTTTGATATTTGGTTGTAGTGACTATGGGAAGTCGTGGGGTTGACTCCATAAGGGGTATAGACTTTTGGGGGTTGGGAAACTCGTCAACATCATTGTAGATGCTGCCAAATGGTTGGGAGAAGCCAAACCATGTTGGCAAGTGTGGCCAACTTGGGTGAGGTGGATTGTGGAGGTTGGGAAAGTGACAAAGGTCAAAGTTGGGGTGCCTATAGGGAGGGAAATTGTGTGGCATGGGGTTTCCTTGGTCCGAGACTCTCTTGGGACCTTCCCTTTTGTCCTCCTCATCCCCTCCCACCTGGTTTAGTGCTACTCTAACATCTTGTGTGAACTTGTGAGAAAATTCGACAAAATCCCATCTTGTGAGAAGCCGGCCAAGGAAGTCGACAAGAACAAGTCGACCAAGGACAGCGGTCGAGGAGGAGGAGGTCGACGTCAGGAGCACTGGCTGTCCGGCGACCCCGACCACCTCTCCTTCGAGTGCCGACCGCAGTGACTCCGACGACGACGATGCCAAGGGAGGCCACAGGAGGTCTGGCAGTCGTCGTCCTCGTCGAGGAGGAAACCAGCCGCGCAAAGAGAAGCAGTCGATAAAGTCGACCTCGGCGGAGGACGCCAACTCCCCTGCTGGCGGTAAGGGGCGTGACGACAAGGAGGTGTCGTGCTCGCTAGTCGGCATCGTGGAGCCGACCGTCTCGCTGGTGCTGGAGGCCGGTGAGGACTTCCAGGCGGTAGCGGCAGCTGTGCTGGCAAACCTCGCAGTGGTCCTACTCGATAGCAGCTTTTCCCACCACCTGATGGGAACGAAGGAGGTCTTTGTCGACCTGCAGCCGAGCGGCAACATCAAGCACAGGCGCGGCTTCAATGGGGCGCTGCACGATGTCCAAGGCCGCGGCACTGTCGCCTTGCAAGGGGAGGCCAGGAAGCAGGTGCTCATCCCCGACGTGTTGTACGTCCCAGGTGTGCGGGCAAAACTGCTATGTCGGACCATCTGAAGGAGCACAGCGTGAACCTGCAGGAGGACAGCGACGCGATGCTGCTCGTTTCCGCAGCAGGAGAGGTGCTCGGTCGAGCGAGGTACACGAGGCGAGTCCTCTGCACCGACCTACGTCCCTGCTCAACGAGGTCAATGTTGCCCACCTTGGAGGTTGTGGCCCTACGGGCGATCGTCTCGACGACAAAGTCGACGCCAGACAGACTGCATGCGAGGCTTGCGCACGTCGGCTTGGACACCATACGGAGCTCGGCGAAGCATGAGGTTGCCACCAGGCTGGACCTCAAGTCGGCGTCGGGCGTTGACTCACCGTGTGTCTCGTGCATCAGCGGGAAGCTGGCGCCGCATACCGTCCCCGACCAAGGCTCCGACGCCAACGACGTGCTGGCCGTCGTACACATCGACCTGTGCGGGCCGTTCCGTGTGGCTGCCAAGGGCGGCAGCGTGTACTTCTTGCTGCTAAAGGACCGCAAGACCCGCTACGTGTGGGTGAGGCCGGTCGCTAAGAAGTCGGATGTGCTGCTGGAGTTCCAGAGGTGGCTGGTGTTGGTGGAGAGGAAGATGAAGAAGTCGGTGCTGATGCTGCGATCCGACCGAGGAGGGGAGTTCCTCGAGAAGAAGTTCACTGACTTAGTGGACGGCAAGGGGATCGTCCACGACCTTACCTGCCCGTACACCTCGTAGCAGAACGGCATGGCGGAGCGGGAGATGAGGACGGTGGTAGAGTCGGTACGGACGATGCTGCTGCACATGGGCGTGCAGCACCACTGGTGGCACCTCGCCCTGCAACAGGTCGTCTGGGTCCGCAACTGCCTTGAGAGGTCGACCCTGCCGCCGGGGACAACGCCGTACCAGCTGCTCACCGGGAAGAAGCCCAACCTGTCGTTGGCACAGATGTAGGGCTGCATAGCACAGTTCCTTGTCCGCGAGTAGCAGCGTGGTGGGAAGCTGAAGCCGAAGGCCAGGTGGGCCTTCACCTGGGTGTGTTGAAGGAGAGCAAGGGCTGGGAGCTCCTCGACATCGCCAACAACCGGGTGGTCACCACGTCGGACGTGGTGTTCCACGAGGATATGTCACTGGAAGTGTGGCAGTCGGAGCACGGGCCGGTGTCAGGACGAACGCCGACCACCCCGCCGACCGACACCTCGACGACGACGCTGCCTTTGCTCGCCGAGGTTGGTGAGCTTCCTGCTGAGGACGCTGAGGTCGTCCATCCTCCTTCCCCTCCCTCTACGACCCCTGCCCCTCCACTCATGGCCGACCTGGAAAGGCTGACCTTGGTGTTGGCCTCCGGCGATGAGGGGAGTCGTGGGACATCGCCTTCGGCGCCGACCAAGGGCATCGCCGGTGGCCGACGTGACGAGCGGCAAGTCGACGTGGGAGTGAAGTTGACGTTGACCGGGGAGGAGCAGATGGAGGAGGAGCAGCCGACTTGGGTAAAGCCGGCGAAGAAGACAGCAGAGCAGCAGCCGACAGGGGAGCAAGCAGCGGTTAAGCTGACCACGGAGCAGCCGGCAACCAAGCACTCGGTAGAGGAGCCGACCACAGAGGAGATGTCAGCCAAGAAGTCGACTTAGGTGCATCAGGACGACGAGGGCAGCGAAGCCAGTGACAAAGGGGAGAAGTCCACCGATAGCGACGTAGTGGAGGTTCAGCCTGAACCTCGGAAGTCATTCCAAACTCGGAGGCCACCCGACTTCTTCGTCCCCGCTGCCTTCACCACAGTGTGCGACGTGGATGACGAGGACCTGGCGTACGACGACGCCGAGGAGGATGAGGAGTTTCTGGAGCGCGACCCCAACCTGCATGCCGACCCCGAGCACCATTAGGACATCTCGACGATGACGGTGCAGGAGGCGTTGGCGAGCTGGAAGGGCCCGGCGGTGAAGGCTGCCATGGAGGAGGAGATCCGCAGCCTCATCAACATGGGCACTTGGGAGCTGGTCAAACGCCCACCGGGAGTGAACATCATGAAGAACCGGTGGGTGTTGACGACGAAGTACCACGTCGACGACACCGTCGAGCGCAAGAAGGCAAGGCTGGTCGCGAAGGGCTTCACCCTGATGTATGGTGCCAACTACGACGAGATGTTCGCAACGGTGGGCAGCTACGTAACGCTGAGGATCTTCCTCAGCATCGTCGTCGTCCTCAACCTTAACCTGATGCAGCTCGACATGAAGAACGCCTTTCTGTAGAACAAGCTCGACCGGGTGCTCTACATGTCCCAGCCGGACTACTTCAACAACGGAACCGGCCGGGTCTGCAAGCTGCTGAAGAGCCTGTACGGGCTAAAGTAGTCGCCGCTGCTATGGTACTTGGCGCTCAATGACGTGCTGGTCGGTGCTGGGTGGAGGAAGAGCCAGGTTGACAAGGCTCTGTACTTCAAGGTCAGCGACGACGAAGCGGCCTGCTGGGTGTTGGTCTACGTCGACGACCTGCTCGCCGCCAGCAGCAGCACCGAGATGCTGAAGGAGTTGAAGGAGCTACTGCAGACCGCCT